AAGACTCTCAAAAATAAAAAATAGGGCCAGGGATTTAGCTCAGTGGTTCCACGCCTGCCTCGCAAGTGCAAGGTCCCGAGTTTGATCCCTGGTACGAAAAAAAAAAAAAAAAGAAATTAATTGCCACTAAAAAAAAGAAAAAAATTAATTGCCATTGTGCTGGTATGAAGAAGTGGGAATTGGCCATTCCAGGTAGTTGGGTGCCCGTGATCCCAGCTAGTCAGGAGGCTGAGGCAGGAGGATTACAACTTCAAGGCCAGCCTGGGCAACTTATTGAGACCTTGTCATAAAAATAAATATCTAGGGCCGGGGATGTAGCTCAGTGGTGCTGCTGCCTGTCTTGCAAGCGCAAGATCCTGAGTTTGATCCCCGGTACCAAAAAAATTTTTAAAAATATATTTAGCTCCGTGGTAGAGCATCTTTGGGTTCTTTTTTTGGAGACAGGCTCTCACTATGTGGTTCAGGCTGGCCTTAAACTCACTTATGTAGCCCAGGCTGACCTCCAACTTGTGACGATCCCCCTGCCTCAGCCTCCCAAGTGCTGGGAGTACAAGTGTGCACACCCCTGGGTACCACACACATACTCATAACCCCCCTGCCGCCACCACCACCACCAACAAAAGAGGTGAGAACTTTGAGAGGTGATTAGGTCTCGAAGGCTGTGTAATCACGAATGGGTTAATGCTGTTGTCCCAGGAGTGCCCTGGGTTGGTGATACGGCTTAGATCAAGATGTCCCCCCAAAGCCTCATGTACCCATCAGTGGGGATTGGGGTGTGATTGGTTCCATGGGGCTTAATGCTCATCAGTGCTGATGAGTTTAGGGGTAAATGTGATCCTGGGGAGAGGAGCCAGGTCTGGGGGGGGGCAGTCATTGGGGGCCTGGAGGGGTTTTTCTGTCTCTGGCTCCTTCACTTTCTGCTCCCTGCTGCCCTGCCTGGGAGTGGCCAACTATATACTGAACCTCTACAAAGCATGTGCCAAAATAAACTTCTCCCTTAAGCTGTGGGTGTTGGATATTGTGTCCCAGAGACCAGAAAGTGACTAAGACAGTTATCACGGGTTCACAAAGTGGACTCCTAATAAAAGGGTCAATCAATCAATTAACCATCTGGCGAAGCCCAACCGACCTCCAAGGCTGCTTGACAAAGTTCCAGCTGGGGAAAGAAAGGGTGGAACACATCGCACCCTCATGTTTTATTTTTTTCTTGCCATAATGTTTAAAATTGTTACTCTGGTCACAGGAGTCACTGTGTTTGTGACTCACAACAAACTCTCCATAAGGCAAATTGACAATAATGTATTGAAATCTGATCTGGCTCACAAGTCCCAAATTCCAGTTTCTCTTAGTTCTATTGCCACATCCACTCCTAAAGAAACCTCTCCTGAAACTCCCTCTGTTTCCCCACTACTATAACTCCCCCCTCTCATTGCTGACCTTCTTATTACCAAAGGGGCCTTATGAAGAGGTTGAAAGGACAGAGTTTAGATGTAAGGAATAGTGGGAAATAAGAAATAGAGAGAAAGTTGGGACAGGTAAATGCATTAAGGAGGCGAGTTACTCAGTATTTCTCACAGTGCTGAAAATATCTCCTGCTCATGGACTATGAACCCAAATGACACTTAGGTAAGATAAATAGAGGTATAG